TTGGAGGCCATTGCTACTAGTAACAATAAGCTACTAGGAGCAAAGGGTATCGCTACTAGGAGCAAGAACGCTACTAGGGCTCCTGGCCTTGCTTTGGCTTTGAAAGTCCGTCCCATTGCGCCAACTGAGGCATGTGATGAGGCCAACAAAGCATACGATAAGTTGGAGGAACAGGTGTGACAGCAATTGCCGTGAGTGACCCTAGCGGCCCGTGATTTGCCTGTTTTTTTGTCACGTCAATAGCATGATTTGGCCATGTAAAATCTTCGGTTTTGCAGTAATGGCCTGCAACCTAATAGCGATGGCCTCCCCCTACTAGCGGCCTTGTAACCTGTAGCTTTGAATCCCTTTGGGCAGGTGACCCAAGGCAGGGACGAAATCAGGAGACGTGTTGAGGAGACTGGGTGACCTTGCCCAGAAATTCGAAATCAATTGTGGGAGGTGGAAAGTTGGTCCTTTCTTAAGCGGCATCAAGTGGGAAAAAGTAGCTACAGCCCTCATTCTACTATATCGCCGTTTTACGTTGCGAGACTGAAAATGTTGGGTCTAAAGTCTAACAAAGATCGCTCTGGATTAGGCGGTGCTGAATGAGAAGCAGGTTTGAAACTGAGCACAAATCGACTGCATTCGCAGGAGAAGCAGAAGGACTTACTGTCCCACTCTACGCCCTATGTCAAGGCCACGGGAGGATGGTGCATGACCTTGTTCGAGACCTCACATGGGGACCTTGTAGAGGAACCTAGACCACTCCCTTTGAACCCCGTGATTTGCTCCGAGCCAAGGCCCAAGCAAAGCATTGCCTTTGTTCTTAGTAGTAGCTTCTTGTTCCTAATAGTAAGGCCAGGAGCCCCTAGTAGCGTCCTTGCTCCTAGTAGCGATGCCCTTTGTTACTGATAGCTTCTTGTTCCTAGAAAGCAAAATGTCCCAAACCAGCTTGGCCTGCATTGTTTGAACAAGGAGTACATGAAGAACATCGCCCTGAGCTTGGAGTTGTTTGATCGGATTGAGAAAGAGAAGAAGAAGGAGGTGAAGTATCTCCAGAAGGACCTGGCAGTCACGTGGTTTCAGAGCTCGCAGGGTGACACTGGCAAAAACCGGACCAAGTTGCAAAGTCTTTGCAGCAAAGTAACGAGAAAGGAAGGAAAAAGTATGCAATAAATGTCAGAACAAAGGAAAGGGTCCAAAGGTCTAAAGTCCGAAACGAAAGGAAAAGAAAATTAGTAAAAATCAAAGGATGTGTTTTGTCCTTCGCTTGAGACGCCCTCTTTTTCGTTGCCCGCTCCCCCTTCTCCCTACTTAATTAGTAAGGGAGAGGTAGCTAGTAGTTTAAGTAGCTGCTACTGAGGACGCAGGATAGCTCGTGCTTCTTCAAGGAAGCTCTCCCCGCCGCCCGCACTAATCATTTGGTTTCTAGATGTTTAGGGAAATTTTGGCTTGCTTGATGGCTTGTGCTGGTGTGCTGGTCTACAAATGATTCCATACTTTACATCATGCAGCAATCTAAGGCTTGGCAGAAGACAGGCATTCTGCATTTCGGCTTTCTTTGCTACCTACTAAAGTCAAATGGCCCTACTGTTGCGGCAAAATGATAAGTTGTTTCTTTCCAAATCTTTGTGTTTTCTTTAGACCTTTCTTTCTGTCCGATTTGAAACTTTGCTATTCTCTATTCTCCTGACTCGGGGGTAGGCCGCTAGTAGCTAGGTAGCTAGTAGCTCAAGTAGTCAAGGAAGCCCTCCTCGCCGCTCTAAAGGCGGCGGGGGAAGCTTCCTTGAAGAAGCGCTCGCACTAATGATTTGGTTCCTAGATTTTTAGGGAAACTTAACTAGAGAGACCGCGTGTCATTGTAGCACCAAACGGCCAAGTTCTAGTTCAGTTGAGTGATTGCATATGAACATGATGTAAAAGAAAGTAGCAAAACATATTGCAGTTTTGTGTAGTTGTCTTGTATGTCGGTTGTTCTTGTCCACATTTTCCCATTGGATCTGTGAAGCAACACCAGGAGCGTGACACTGCTGCAGCGGCGGCTTCTGCATTAAGCAGCATCCAGCGGGGCAAGAAAGCTCAGCATGGGCCACAGTTCGACACGACTCACAAGGGTCGCAGACACAACTTGCGGCAACAGTCGGCTGTTTGGTGTTCAAGAGTGTATTTATCCGATGGTGAGAAGCCCCATGTGACCATGTGTCTGTCCAGCATAGGGCATAGGTCCGTGGCTTGTTTTCACCCTTACTAGGCAGGTCAATGAGTAGATGAAGTAGATGACAGGAGTCTGGGGTGGTGTTGATGTGTTGCACTGCAAGCATGGACTATTGTGCAACTCGGCTTCTCAGACTGGAACTGGCATGCAAGAATGAAGAGGCAGATTGGGTGTGCGCATAATAGACAAAATAAATCGCACGCGTGTAGTGTTTGTTCCATTTGAAGACCAGAGGTCAGTGTTTGTACAGAGGCATTTTTCTGAAGAAGTGTTTCATGATTCGGATTGTGTTTGTAAAGCGGTTACGGAGTTTGTACTTTCCAGGTGTGGATGCCACTACCAGTCTCGATCAGAAAGTCATTGTTTGCTGTTCGCTGGATATTTTGTCACTTGGTTTCTTTCTTCAAACCATGTCTTGACCCTTCAAACAATTTTTCCTTTTTCCTTTTGACCTTCTCTTCCCTTGTTTTCCTCGACCAAAGTGTCAGGTGGCCAAGTGCCGGGACCTCATCGAGTGTCGAAGACAGGACAGGGTGTTTTGATGCCGAAGAGAATGCCGCGGCTGTTTAGCAATGGCCTCCAACCTACTTGCGATGCCCTCCTTCTTGGACTTTTGAAGTCCATGATCATGTTTTGCGCGATATAGATAGAGTCAACCACGTGGATGCTCCATGGTTCAAGGCGATCGTTTGCTCATAAGTTGCTCCATCCATGTTCGCTCAAGGAGTTGGAGGAGCTGAAGGAAAAGCGTGGCCTCGCACGTGAGCATTATGCTGCTTGGCATGGGCAGATCAGATCAGCCAGGATACAAAAATCCATCCTGCTCAGAATCTGACCCTTCCCTTTGGTTAATCCATCTGTCGACAGATTTTTGTGCAAGTCACCATGAGATGAGTCGGGAGGGCATGTGTCTTCACATGCTGTAGTTCTGGTGGTTGGGAGCCTCAAGGAAAAACATAAAGTTGGAAGCTTTGCCCCGGACACGCAATTGAACTTGGGTCACTGGAAAATAGGAATGAATTTAGGCGATGGGCCCTCACCAAGTTCTGGAATTCCTGAGATCCGTCCGCCCGACCTGGGCACCTCGAACAAGGAGTTTTGCCTCCACTTGCAGCTGCACAACCCGCGGTTGGAACAAGAAGAGGCAACTCGCTTTGCCCAGGCGTGAGCAATGGGCAGCGCCCAGCCAAAGAAGCCCAGAAGCCCTTAAAGACAAATAGACAAATAAGAGCGATGGCCTCCAACCGCACATGCTAGTAGTTAAGTTTCCCTAAAAATCTAGGAACCAAATCATTAGTGCGAGCGCTTCTTCAAGGAAGCTTCCCCCGCCGCCTTTAGAGCGGCGAGGAGGGCTTCCTTGACTACTTGAGCTACTAGCTACCTAGCTACTAGCGGCCTAACCCCCGGGCGCCCGCACGAAAAAGTAGGGAGAGGGGGGGGGGAGCGGGAAAATGGTTTTGCCGTTGGTTGTGGCCAAAGAAAATGCCTTTCACCGTGGCGCCAGGCAGAGGCCGAGCGCTGTTTGGGTCGCTTCACTCTTTGGGTCCAGGACCCCACGCTCGAGTCGCTTGAGGCGCCGTGGGCGTGAAGCGGTGGGGGGTAGGAAGTAGGACGAGGTAGGTAGCTAGTAGCATCCTTGCTCCTAGGTAGCTACAAGAACGCTACTTAGGACGCAGGATAGCTCGCGATCGCACTATTCATTTGGTTCTTAGATTTTTAGTGGAACTTGACTTCAGGCTGGATGGAGTCTTGATTTGTAAGATTGGAGATCTCATGTCTAAAGTGTTGATTGTCCTTCACGTTCTTTGTCATTCCAGTGGAATTGCACTTTGTTGACTAAGAAAGAGAGAGAGAGAGAGAGATGGAGTGTGGACGAAAAGTTGTTGCTAAGAAGTTGAAAAAATAAATAGTGGAAAAGTCTGAAAGAATGAAGTAGCAAGAAGCTACTAGGAGCAAAGGGCACTACTAGGAGCAAGGACGCTACTAGGGGCTCCTGGCCTTACTAGTAACAAGAAGCTAGTAAAGGAAAGACATCTCCTATCAAGGCTTACTCCGAAGATCTCGTGCCAGGCGGAGATGTCCCCGAAGTCTCCTAAGGAGAATTGCGCAGCACACCATCGTGGTTTGCGGCAGGCTGATGCCCGAGCAACTCTCATGAGGGGATTTTGGTCTAAGCAACACAGGCATGCAATGCCGCATTGGATCACCAAACTAGCGATGGCCTCCAACCTAAGAGCGATGGCCCTAGTAGCGTCCTTGCTCCTAGTAGCGATGCCAGGAGCTCCTAGTAGCATCCTTGTTACTACTAGCGATGGCCTCCCATTTGCTGCCGGTGTTTGTCACGACGAGGCCTATCCACAACTGGGTGGCCAACGTCTCGGTTCTCCTTTCCTCTCCTTCGGCCAGCTGAGCCGGTCACCACGCAGTGAGGCCTTGTGTGTGGAGCGGAAAAGGCATGAAAAGAAGAAAGCAACGGCTGAGAAGAACAAAGAAAAAAATAGAGGTTTCGGACCTCCAGTTAGGGGTTTACAGGCTCCTTACAGGGTTGGAAAAGGGTTTGTCGAGGCTGCCAGAGGTCCGATGGCAAGTAGTGAGTTCAGAGTCCGATTTAGAGAGGCGGAGTGTGGGCAGAGTGTTGCGAGGACATTTCAGAGGCAGCTGTGTGAAAAGGAGCAAGTCGAAGGGGTTGATGAAAGATTCGTGAAGATGAAAGTCAACGACGCAGTTACAGTGTAGGAAATAAGAGCCAGGCAAGCAACCTGCCACCTACCTAACCTAGGAGAGCGTAGAAACTAGAAAGGTCTTAAATTTCTAGAGAATAGGACAATAATAAAAAAACACAATACGTTCAAGAAGAATCACCAGCCGCTGGGCATCAAAATCCGTCTACTAAGACAATGCGGTCTTCAAAAGCGTGAGTGAACCTTTTCAATCTGCCACGCGAGCATACCAACACAGCTTTGCGTCGGCATAGCAAATATCATGTGCCCGCATGTGTGCAAGCAGAACAACGCCACTACAAGCAAGAACCAGCAAACATGCTCCGAAACGCGCTCTGACTGGGGTTTGCCATCAAGTCAGCGCAACACCATGACCTGACCTCAGATTCAGCATGTCAGCGTGACCCGAGCCAGCGCGCCAGCATGACAACATGTCAGCGTGACAACGCCTCAGAGAGAGAGAGAGAGAGAGAGACACACGGCATATTTGCAAAGTGCTAACTTGCCTTGGAACTTCCACCAGAGCCTGCTCCGGAACCCTGCTGGGAAACCTGCTCCGAAGTCTTACTATGGGCGAAGACCCCTAAGCCTCTTTTGTTTGGGAAAAGTAAATAGGACATGAACAATCAGAGGATGAGTCATAAGTCATAAGGTGGGAAAAAGCAACAACATTGCCGCTTAGTTTTTGATCTCGGCCAATCGGTCAAAGGTCGACAAGAAAGGCATTTTGGTCTTCAGAGTTTCTGTGTGACGCACAGGCGAGCTCCGCCTACTCTGAGAGGACTGAGAGGACTGCGCCATCTGAGGCTCAACGGGTGCTATTGACAAAGACTCGCATCTTCAGACATTCCGAAAGATAACAGTTTGGTTTGGAGCACAAGGTAAGGAGAAGAAAGGCAATCAAGAAGGTCATAAGTTAGAGGCCATTGCTTTCAGAAATAAAGAAATACTACAAGATAGAGCCCACGAACCCGAATGGACAAGTAGCCGTTCGATTTAACTTTTTACGACAGACTTGTCTCACTAAGTGCCACCATATGAGGATTCTTCATTCTGCACGGCTGTAAATGAGACATGCGCAGAAACTCAGGCAGATCTGCGTCGGGAAAGAGAAATCTGCACTGACCACAGGTCTCAAAAGTTAGGACCTGAAAAATATAACTGGTGAGAAATCCACAACTGCGGTGCCCTTCGCTATGCATTCGGGAAACAGGAAAGGAAGAAAGGTCAACTATAGTTTGCTACTACTAGAATGGGGGCCATCGCTCAGGCACAAGGCCTGCGGATGATCTAGTTCATACTTCAACCGTTTCAAGACAGAAGGTTGGCCAAAAGCGAGCGATCTCCTGCTAGCGGTGGCCTCCAACCTACCAAGCGATGGCCTCCATCCTACTAGCGATGGCCTTTAACAAAAAGTTGCGGATTGTACCGCTGCTATCACTGCTGCTGTTGCTGCTGCTGATGACGATGGTGATGGATGCCACAAGCCGGAGTGAGCGCGGTTTTGAGACTTTTCAGTTGCGTATCTGTGTTCACAATTCGACTTGTGTTTGATGTTGAGAATATTCTCAGCTTTTGACACAGTGTGAATGTCCAGGCGGACGATGACTCTCCAGATTTGGACACCTCAGCGACATTGGAGGTCTCACGAGAGGGCGCTGTGTGACTGAGAAAGTTTGGCGGGGACCGTTTCAATGGGACAAAAAGAATGATTTTTGTGCAATCCCAATGTGAAAACCTATGAAACATCAACCCAGCTTTACAGCTGCAGGCAGACGAACACAGCTATTGCGAACATTTTTTCTGAGAAGGAGCCTCCACATAAATCTTGTTAAATGGCTATGATTGCAAGCGGGCCTATTCGCAGTAGATGGAAGAAAACCCTTTTTTGCGCATTATCCGAACACTCCGAGGTGCTTGGTCCTTTTCCTAAAACAAAAATCTAAATCCCTAGACCCAAGCCCAACAGTTCTTTTTTCATTTGTTATATATGTTTATTTCTTTCTTTGTCTTTATTTTTCTTTGTGTATTTCTCTTTATGTCCCTTTCTGTTTCTTTCTTTATCTGTCGTTCTTTCTTTATTTTTCTTGCTTGTCCTGTATGTTCGGTTCTTTTCTTGTCTTGTCTTTTCTTTTCTTTTATTGTTTTTCTTTTCTTATGTTCTTGCTTTTCTTAGTTCCTTTCTTTTCTTATTATGTTCTTTATTTCCTTTCTTTCCTTTCCTTCCGTTCCTTCCTTTCCTTCCCTTTCTTTCTTTCGTTCTTTCTTGTTTTTTTTTCTTTCTGTTCTTTTATTTGCTTTTTCTATTTTTTTATCTTTGTTCTTGGTTTTTTATCTTCTTTGTTTCTTGATTTTCTGCTCTGTTCTTTCCTTTCTCTTTCTTCCCTTTTCCTTTTTTCTTTTTTCCCTTCCCGTCCCTTACCCCCTTCCCTTCCCTTCCCTTCCCTCCTCCTCCCTCCTCCTCCCTCCTTCCCTTCCTTCCTTTCTCCCTTCCTTTCTTTTCTTCCTTTCTTCCATTCCTTCTGAGCTTGGGAAACCAAAAACATGAAGCCGCGTCGGGCCTTTTGTCGTCTTGAGCCAAAAGCCGTTGCCGGCAGGTCGTAGTTTCCTCTGTACACGAGGCAATCCTACATGTACACTTACACTTCTCATTTGTCCAAAAAAGGAGGGGTGCTCACATAACATTTCAGCGAGCGCACTCCCCCTTGAAGGCTTCCTTCAATCTTCAGCTCGCGGGTCCTCCAGGACCTCGAAGCTTCCAACTGACTCAGAATCCGCTGGATCCCGAGTTAGACCAGGTGGCGAAAAAAGAGCTTTTTCTACTCTCATCCACACTGGAAGATCTGTCGGCAGTGTAGCAGCCCAGGGCAGCTCACTTGAATCTCCAATTTCCCCTCTCAGTAGATGGCCTTGGTGTCGGGCTTCATATCCGCTCATCTGGGTGCCGTCCAAACCGTCATTGTCTCGAGCAATGACTGCAGCACCGTCATACGCAGCAATTCCCAGGGAAGAAGTTGGCATGCCTCAGGGTCTTGAGCAAGGAGGTGGCTTCATTCAGCAACTCGGCCGTCGCGTCCTTGTTCGTTACCTTCTCTGGTGAGTCAACCGACTTCGACGACGGCGTTGTTGCGGGAGAGGACCCCGAGCCTCCTGACAGTTCTTCGCCACCAGCAGGTTCGAGCATCACCTTGTCCCCCATTTCAGACCTCTCCCCAGCCTTCGTGGTCTTCACCTTTGACACCTTTCTTGTAGTCGGACTTCTCCCCCTTCTGTTGGTGAGGACAATCCTTCTTCATATGGAGTCCACCACACGCAAAGCAGCGACCCTTCATATCCGCGGTGTCATGGGTGCAGGCACAGCTGGAGCCTTTTTTGCATCCATCATCACCCCTCCAAAACTTGCACACCTGCTCAGTCCTGGGTTTCTCTTCACCATCCCCAGACCCATACGACAAAGCCATCACCTTCAAGGATGTGGTCGCCTGCTGTATGGACCCAGATGCTGTCTGTGGCTGCGACAGCTCTTCAACCTCCGCCTGGATGTACTCTGCGAACTCCCGAACAGCCTCAATGGACGCTGCATAGTCAACACGAAGTTCCTGACGTCAAATTGGCTAACCAAAATGCCGCCTGTGAGCCACCCAGCTTGGTTGCACTCTCAATCATCCGGTTGATGGCGACCATCAGCACTACTGGGTCAGGCAGTGACAAACGAAGCTCCCCCGCTCTCGTGAGCCACCTTCTCCACAATCTGACCTGGGTGAGCAGTTCGCCAATGTTGACCGGAAGCTTGGCCTCGACCAGATTCTTCAGCAGCTGAGTTTTCTCGGCTCCACCGCCCGGCTGGTAGGTCACATGAAGTCGATAGAGGATGTGGACCACAGAAAGCTGTCGCCCACTCACCAAATCGGTCTGTACACGAGGCAATCCTACATGTACACTTACACTTCTCATTTGCGTAAACCTGTCCAAAAAAAGGAGGGGTGGTCACATAACATTTCAGCGAGCGCACCTTCCTTGCTTGGAGTCCACGCACTGCAGCCGCAACAAGAAACACTTCACCCAGAGTGGAAGCTACCATTTCAACGTTGGTCGAGTGCTTCGTTATTTTTTGGAATTTCACCAGTCAGTTAAACACCTCCAGCAGTTGCAGCAGACAGAATGATGGGCCGATGCGTTTTTTCTGGAGACACAATGGCAAGTATGAGGGCCATTTTTCAGCAATTACCATCTGCAACTACGTAATATACACTTGACTCCTGCAGGCACCAGGGCCAGGAGGACTCCCCGGTCGCCCTGACAATCCTTCACTGATGAGAAAGGCGCCTGAGTCAGGGAAACATGCCTGAAGTTGTGAAGACGCTTCTATTTAGATTCTCTTGAGTTTGGCATGCATTTGTTTTCCATTGGCCGGGCGGCCTGCGCTTTTGGTTTCTCACGATGCGATCTACTATCCAGGCGCCCAAAGAAGGTGCTGCTTCCTCGCTGACTGCCTCGCTGGGTGCCTCCAGGGCTCCCAAGCTTCCGGCCCCTTGGACATCCAGGCGACACATGACGTGGCAAAGGGTAGCAATGTCCAGGAGTCCAGGCAAGAGTAGGGAAACTTGCAAGGTTGTAGTTGTTTGTCATGCATATTCCCATTTGGGAAAGCATCCTTGTAGACAAACAGCGGCGCCAAAAGATTTTGGATTCCTGGAAAACTTGTAGTTTTTTGTGTGTGGAAGTCTGTCTCAGCCTTTTTGCTTTGATTGGCTTTTGCTCTCGTTTTGCTTTGCGCATTTGTTACCTGGCGCTTGGGCGTCCAGGCTCAGCACGCCATTGCAGGGCACGGGGGCCTAACATGGTTTAGCGTCGAAAATCCAACATTACGTTCAATTGACGTGCACGGTACGAGCTGTGCCATTGGGATGGCGTTTCCAGCATGGCTTCCACCCTAGTAGCAAAAGGAACTTACTAGCAATGGCCTCCACCCTAGTAGCAATGGCCTCCAACCTAATAGCGATGGTCTTTAGACGTGTTGGGTGTACTGTGCCATTGCGATTTGCTCTTGAAGAGCTTGCTTCGAAGCTGTGCTTTCGTCAGCTGAAGTTGCAATTTGGGGTGCTGTGGGTGGTGCATTCCAAACATGTGTGGCGCAACGCAACTTCGTCTAGACACGTCAAGGTGTGGCATAGTGACTGTTCAGCTCTTCATTCAAGACAGGCAGGCAGCGCTGTTTTTTCAACACAGCAGAACCCCTGTAGAGACTGGGCGTTGGGACCAGGCCCAATCGTGACCTGACCTACCCCACCCAGCGCATTGACAAACGCAGCATGAGACAACAACGCGCAACATTTACAACACACAAGGACCTAAGGACAACACCAAACATAGACACAAACAATTTCATCATTTCGTGCCAGATTCCTCAAAAAGAAATGAAGCCGGAAGCACATCCCCCAGGCCTTGCATAGAAGTTTCACAATCCAAGCCCCTCTGAACGGAGCCCAGACATGCAAAGAACCGCGGCTGTCATGAAAGCGATAGACGCCACGCCTTGACATGTTTAGCTAAACGCGCAAAGCGCCACACACCTGGAATGAGTTCCGCGCTTTCTGATACCCTAATGGCGAAGAAAGACTTTAACGAACCTCATTGCGATGGCCTCCGCCCTCATGTCAACCAAAGGCATAAGTTTACGATAATTTACGGCAGACTGGTTGTAGAGACTATAATGGCGATGGCCTCCAACCTAGAAGCGATAGCCTGGAAAAAGTGGGGTGCGATCGTTTGGAATTGTGTTTTGTCGCTAAAGATCACCCTGGCAACACCAGTCCCATGAGAAGGCGACTCATAGTGCTGACCTCACTAAACACTGCACCTGCGGAGCATGGCAAGTTCACACTTGGGCACATCTCGCGCTTGCACTTTTTGTGACTGCTTCCATCTAACACCTCCTCCAAAAGCTGGTAACGTTGAACGACAGCCCTGCATGGAAATTCCCTCCCTTTGTTCAGCGCTCATGTATTTCTTGTTTCCTGGACGTGAAATCTCAGCTCACAAATCTGAGGTCGAAGCGCAGCGCCGGCAAGCAAGAAGCCAGAGTGCCAGGTGTCTGTTGAAGTTAATGAAAGCTGGTAGCAATCACCAGTAATGGGTGCAACCGTTGGAATCCTGCTGGCCAAGCCAGCGAGTTCACCATCATGCGTAGGCATTGAGCGTTGGCAACTTTACAAGGCTAAATGCCAACACATGATCGAAGGTTGTGTAAAGCACAGCTTGGCCATGGAGCAGCGAGCCCTAATCTGTCAAAACAGTGTCAACGTCGTTCGCATGCTTTGTTTCTTGTTTTTATTTTGCAAATTTTCTTTTTGATACACCGCATTTCACCATCAAAATTTAGTTGTGGTTATTATTGCTCCGGTTCTCGGGTCTCTATTTTTTTGCATTGGGCTAGGGCTAGGGCGTTTTGCAGGTTGATAGAGTTTGTGCCATTGGGTTTGCAAATACTGAGAAAGGTAGTTTTGGCGTGGAATAGTGGCCCGATTTGCGCGTCGCAATAAGGATGTGACAGGCAAAGCTATGGGTTAACGATTCAATTGACGCGTGTGTGGTTTGTGGTGGAGTTACGCGAAGACATTGTAAAGCGAAAGGTGCTGTATATGTGATCGCCGGCGCCACCTCAAAAGTAATTAGAAGATGAAACGATAGGTAATGGGAAAGCTTTGTGCAAATTATCGATTCGCAAAAATTTGTTAAGTTTAACAAATCACAATCTGATAAATAATGATAATATATTTTTTAATGGAAAAATAGGGAAACAACTATAGATGTTTGAGCGGTTGTGTGCGCGCATGTAATTTTGGCTGTAAGTACTTCTGTGCCCTGCTTTTGGTTTGGTTTATTGATACTTTGATAAAATTGGATATAGAGAACGAATTCCTTGAGGTTTTGAGAAGGTAAGGACTTCGAAATGCCTTTGGAAATAGGGACTATTAAAATTGAATAGTCGGGGTGGAATTGGGAATATTTATAGGTCGGCGGTTGCCTGTTTAATCGTCGTTTAATTGATTAGTATACCTTTTATACAAACGAAAACGTCGTTTATTGATGATAATTTTAGAATTCGTAAACATTTTTTAGGGATATCGTACGTTTATTTAGGCTTTGGATTGAGTTTTTTGACCTCGCTAATGAAGGAAGGATGTGGTAGGCTAGTTTTTTTAGGTCTGTTGGGGTTGAAAATGAATTGAGAATGATTCCGGTGGAAAATGCTTAAAAAGCAAAATATTTCTTTAAAAATGGGGATGGATACTAATTTAAACACATAATTTCTACGTTATTCTTTTTTTTTGATACTTTTTTAATCTTATTTTTCGCCGGTGTTTGAATAGAAAATGGTGAAACGACGGAAAATATTTAATTAGTTATGGAATTATAGGTCTATGTATCGGTTAATTAGGCCCAAGTTTGTAATTGAAAAGATGTATTCCGTGGTAACGGAGCTTTGGTCATAAGAATTTTGGATTAATATTACGAATCTTACGGCATCTTTACGAGCCACGATAAGGGTAACGAAGCGATCGAAATCTAGGGGAGGCATATTTTTTACGGGCCATTTGGTTGATCGAGATCTTGATCGTTGTAGGACTAGTTAGCGGTGTGGATTTAACATTATCTTTGGAAATTTTCTATTATTAGGACGATTTAATTGTGGTTTCTGGACGTTCGAAGAATTAAAGGGTCTATATTTTGAGCATCGAAAGCGAGGAAGGAGAACATCGCGAAGGTTAGGTGGGTGAAAAAGGAGAAAGTTGTAAGGATTGCGATATTGCTGGTATAGTAGGAGGATTAGACAGAAATGAAAAGAGTTTTGGTGGTGGTGTCCGTGAAATGGAAATTACGAAAGCTAGCAGCAGCTAGCTGGAGTTATTCTTGCTTTAGCAAGTTAAGGGGTTTACGCTATACGTATGTAGCACCTATTATTTTCTATAAACTACTTTGAAATTTTTTAGTCCGCTTTCGACCTAATTTATTTGGCCTAAGACGTAGTAACTTAATACTTGCATCCGTAACCATAGAAAAGGTGGGTATCGTTGTCGCTCGCGTACCGATCGCATTCGTATGATTTTACTTGGTGTTTCGATTAGGTCTAGTTAAGAAGCTGCTACTTCTGGCGGAACTTACCCCTTAAAGTGATAGCGGAGCTTGTGTCTCTTGCTTCGCAACGGTCGGTTTTGCCTTCGTGCCGAATCGTCCGATATTCCGGATAGGAAACCACTAAGTAGGTTACTTGTCTGAAAACAAATAGACCATGCATGGTCGAGATCTTTAGCACAGATAGGGACGAAGAGCATAACGACAGCCTGTCGGAAGCAACTGATCTAGAAGAAGCTTTCGCCGCTTAAGGCACGCGTCATCGCCATCAGCAAGCAAGGTCCTCGAGTTCGACATACCGGACGTACGAGGCAGCCATCAGCAGGTATCAAGATGACGCCAAAAATTCCTCCGTCATTCGATGGACAATTATCCTGGTTCGAATTTGAAGATTTGATTGATGATTGGATGAACATCACCACATTAAGCGCCGAAAAATTAGGCCCATCATTGAAGAACACTTTAACCGGAAACGCCGAATACTAATAAAAGATGCTCGACAATGAACAACTTCGTCATGAAAGAAACGGTATTACGTATTTCAAGGAGACGTTGCGCCCATGCTTTGTCGAGGGAGCAAATCATGTTTTTTATTCGCGTTTCTGGGCGCCGAAACGGGGAATTTGTCAGCTGGATCGCTCGTTTTGAAGTTGCTAGTAATAAAGTCATGGAAGCCTTCATGGGCTTGTTGGATCTTTCGACTATTCCACAGCCTGATGATTTTAATTTTGCTGATATCCTCTCGCAAAAAGCAATACATGCTACTTCAAGGACTTCAAGATCCCGCAGAAAGAAGAGAAGCTGCAGAAAGAATCCGCTCTGAACACATTGATGCTTTGAAACAAGCACATCGTTATACCTTTCTACTGTCTGATAACTTGATGTCACTTATTTTCTTAGTTCAGTCGGATCTCAACGAACAGCAAAGAGAAAGGTTTGTAGCCAGCATGGCCTTGCGTCAGATCAATGTGAACAACTACACATACTCAGGTGTCAAAGGCTTATTCCTTGATCTCTTTTGCGGAACCGCCACAGGAATTGCCGATCCTTCGATCCGCAGGCAGAGAAGATCCACTTTCCTTGTTCTCGATGAAGGAGACTTGAAGGAAGAATCCGGATATTGGGTGATGGATCAGGAAGCAGGCGACAAAGTATTTGTGAGTTTGTTCTCAGAATCAGAATTTTGGGTGTTTGCAGCTAAAGGAGGACACACCCGTATAAGAATCAATGGAAGAAGATTCAGAAAACCATTCAAAGGCGGCAAGGGAAAAGGCCGCTGAAAAGGTAGAAGACCCGGCTTTGTTAGCCGTAGAGGCAAAGGTGCAGGGGCACATTATGCAGAGTACCCTGACAACTCAGGTTTCTATGGAAAAGGCAAGGAAGGAAAGAAAGGTGGAAAAAAAGGTTTCAAGGGAAAAGATGTATTCAAAGGTAAAGGAAAGAGCAAGCAACAGAATCCCTTTCAACAATCCAATGTAGCAACCACCGAAGAGCCTTCATCAGATCAGCCAACTCCTAATGCCGAAGAAACCTGGAGTGCACATGAAGCAATTTGGTCATGGGATTCGTATGGATATCACACAGACCAGTATTATCCTGAAGATGTCTGGCAGGCAAATGAAGCCACTTGGCTACATTGGACATACTTTGCGGACGGACAGACGGACAGACCGCAAGATGAAGAGCACCGTAGCTCAGAGCCAAGGCCTGGCCAGCTGAACCAGTTAGCAGACTTTCGTTATTGCGGAAACCCCGCAGAAGAAATAACTGGTGAAGAACCTGTTTCACATCAGTATCACCTAAACCCTGTCGGTAGCGATACAGACTACCGACATTCATTCGGTCCATGGTCCTTCCTTCACCCAGGGTCAACCGTGCCTTGTAGTCTTCCTCACTGCTTCCTGATTTTAACCAGCTGAGTTGCCACAGGATCACTACAAGCAGCAACTCGGTTTGGCAGCCGATGCCATCTCGGATCCCGGGTCATTTCCTGCAGATGTTTAGCGCGGCAGTGCCAAAACTCGTGCTGTGTTCCATATCTTTCTCAAAGGACCTTCTCTGTCTTGGCCTGGCTTCTTGTCGCAGTGAGTTTCGATCGTTTGTTCAGAGGGATGTTCACAGCACGACCCTCATGCTTCAAGTGCAGGATCCATCAACGTTTCCCAAGGATCATCTTCGTCGGAGAAGAAATTATTTTGACATCCCAAGACACAAACTCCTCGACAAGCTCAACCTGTCAATAAAATCTCACAGGTGCTAGCTCGTCATCTGCAAACCATGCTGGTGGAGGAGGAGCAGGGACAGCGACTACATACACAGCGTCAGTGAAAATGATGAGGTTGGAGATGCCTCCCACACGCAAGAATCATCAGAGGTCTTTGATCTCACCATACCTCGGGATGAGGGCACAGAGTTATATCCATGGCGTGTGGGCATGTCAAAGTTATTCAGGAGAAAATTGAGATTGAGGAGTTCTACGATTTGGAGGAGAACGAATTTCAAGAATGCCGTGAACCCACAATCGAGTGCCAGTCCATTGACCATCATTGCCATTGATCTTTAGGATGAAGAGGAGAGTGGCAGTGCACACAAAGAGGATGAATTATGACGAAGAGGAGAACACGGAATCTAGCATAGCGAAGATAATACTGGTGGGATGTGATGGTTAATTCATTTAGCTCAAGGCGTAGTAGCCCAATACCTGTATCCGCAGCCATAGAAAAGGTGTGCATAACTGCCGCTCGCACACCGATCGCATTCGTAGGACTTCACTTGGTGTCTTGATCAGGTCCAGTTGAGCAACTGCCACTTCTGGCGGAACTTTCCCCTAAACCCTCAGCTCCCCCCTAGTACGTGCAAAAGTGCCATGTTCAGGTGGCAATTCAGCACTATGGTCTTCTTCCTGGTAGCGGCAATACTGCCGGCATAACGCACTGTTATGAGCACATTCAAACAACCACAACTGTGGCACTCATCCCGTCCAGCACGACTCAGACCGACCCACCATTTCAGGGTCTTGTTGCTCAACTTTGGCGATGTTAACGGTGCGGAGCTCACAAAAACGGATCAATGTGCCGTTTTGCCGCACTATCTTGTCAGGAACACGACACATATATCGATCCTTCTGAGGCCAACGGACGTAAACGACACAGGGA